CCGCTGCTGGGAGCCGCCTCCCGCCACCGCGCCGCCGAGGAGGTGCGCGCCGACTTCCAGCGCAGGGTGCCCTACAGCTACCTGCAGCGCGCCTACATCCAGGTAGGCGCCGCCCGGCCCCCGAGCCTCCCCGCGCCTGGGGGCTGCCCTGCCGTCCTCCCTGAGCATCCCGGGTGCGGTCCCCCCCGCCGAGCTCACCCATGGGTGCGGGCGGTGGTCGCGGCCTGCTCCCGACACGGAGCATCCCGGGCTGCAGCTCGGGCTCTGTCCAGCCTTGCTTAGCTGTGCTTGTCCTGGTTTAGTTTTTGTTTTGTTTGAGGTTTTTGGGGTGTGTGTTTTTATTTGTCTTTTAGAATAACACCGTGTAATTCTGAAAACGATCTGCCTTCAGTTTGCAGAGAAAAGCCCCCAGACAACCCCCCAGTAGCACCCCGGTGCCTTCTGCCAGAGACATTTCCCTTTCAGACAAACTGAGCTGATGCCGTGTTCCAGGAGCAGGGAGCGTGTGTGGAGCTGGGCGGTGTATAACCTCTCCTACTGGGATCCGATGGGCTTTATCCTTTTGTGTGATACGAGTTACTCTGCATAACACCGTGCAGTCGCTATTGAGCAGCCGTGGCCATCCTGAGTATCACCCTCTTACCCAGTCACTTCTGCCTTGTAGCTATTACCGTATCTGAGGAAAATGGTGTTATTCTTTGACCTTCCTTGCCAAAAAGAGGAAAAAACCCCCACAACAACAAAAAAATCCATGTCAGGATAGTTAATGGTATTTTTCTTTCAGTTCAAGACTTCTAGATGATCTTCAAAGTCTTTTCCAACCTTGATGATTCTGTGACTTGTGCTCTGTCAAGCCAGGTACCTGTAGTAAGTCTTCCTGTTCATGACTAAGGACAGAAACTCTGGGAATTTTATTTCATGCCAAGCTGAATGTTTAAAATATTTCTGGAACACTTCTCTCTGGATTTTTGCTTTATTTGAGCACGTTCATAACCTTTTAGTTGCTATAGGCAACTTAATAGGTGAAGACCTGCACAGCAGAGCACGGGGAGGGTGGTTCTGCTGAAACCCGTTCCTAGTTGGAGAAGAAAACATCTGTCCTAGCCAGGGTCGGTGCCTGTGGTGCAGTGCCAACGCAGCAGCAGATCAAGGAGGCAAATCATGAGCTGCTGCATTTTAAAACCTTCTGGGAAATTGTAGCTGTGTTGCTTTTTCTGTACTTCCTTTTCTGCCATTGCTTTAATGTCTTTTTTGCAAGTCAGGGATGAGAACTACATTGGTTTAAACTCCAGTGTTTATGTGCTGTGTAGAGTTCCTGACAGAAATCCTATGAGTGAACTGGGACTATAATTTGGCTTGTATGCGATTCCAGTGAAGCTGGCAGAATTTTCCTCCGGTCCTTACCTTGAAAGATGCTCTATGGAATGTCACCATCTGTGGGAAGTGACACTAAATTTGTAATGATAAAAAATTAAGTGGTTTCTTCTCCTGAATGCAAAGCTATTCCTGGAGTCACAAAGGTTTGCTCATGTCAAGCTCATCAAAAACCTTTAATCTGAATTAGGCAATGGGGTTTTTGTCTCCCATTTCAGTAAAATCAATGTACAAAAATGCAGATGACATTGGAGTATGCTCTGTTCTTTCATTTCTGCCACTACTGGGTCTGAGGTTTTTATTTTCCTCATTTAAAAATGTGTTCTAAACTTACCAAAGCAATGTGTTGAAAACAGTCTTTTTTTCTTGTGTGTGACTCATCACAATTTGCTTTTGCAATGTCTGGAGATTTTATATTCATGCTAACACTTTGATTTTGCTGCTCTCTGATGAAGTAGCGGATGTTCTTCCTATCTGCATGGATGCCTAGGTTCTGGGCACTGTAGCCAAGGGAAAGCACTCTTTGAATAGAGCTGTTTATGTTTTTAATACCTCTTTCTTTAATCCCTTCTGATGCTCTTGGGATTTAGAAGCAGCACTTTGATCACCTTTGTCCCACAGAGCAACCAGTAGTGGTTTGTCCACATCCTCACCTTGCTGCTGTCTGCGTGAGCTCTGTTCCCAGGGTTGTTCTTTTGATCTGGCTCAGCAAGTCTGTGCGCAGAAGAAAATGGCCCACATTGGATTTGCCTGCACTTGCACAGAACACGAGGTCTAATGTCTAGCACACACACACACACACAGATGTGAACCATTCCCTGGTGCTGAGTGCCAGGGCTTTGGCATGTTCCCTGAGGGCTGGGATGCATTGGCACACGCGCCCTCCAGGGACACCTCGCACCCTCCAGGGACACCTCGGCTGCAGCATCTGCTCAGCCTTTTGTCTTGAGAAGGAGACCTGCAGAGCAGGGCTTGTGCAGAGCCCCACTACCTTGCTGTGGGTGCATGGGCAGGCTGCATGGCTCCAGGGGCGGCTCTTTGACCCCCCTGGTTTGCTCCTTGAAGCTGCAAAGGAAACTGAGATGAGGTTAAACATCCTGCTGCATATCCTGTCTGGTCCCTTCCCAGCCTGCGTGGGGAGGCCTGGATGCTGGGCGCTTGTGTGAGATGCTGGCTGGACAGCAGGGGTTGGTGGCATTTGTGGTTTGAGAGAGGAGGAGCAGCCTGGAATGTGCTTCCCACCTCCCACTCCCGCTGATCTCGTGCTTGTTTGTTTCTCAGGAGGGGAGAAACACATCCCTTCGGGAGGGAGTGACGGAGCAAGGAACAGATTAAAAAAAATCGAAGGCTTTGGCTCTTGTGCAGTGCTTTGAAAAATGGTGCTGAATAAACATGAGCTAATCCTTGCGACACTTCTGTGGGGTATGAAAAGCAAAGGCTTTTAGTCCTGCTGGACAGATGCACAGGCCAAATGTTGGCCAGCACTGTGTGTGCCTCTGATGCTTTTGAAGGAGCGGAGCCACCCCTGTGTGCTCAGGGAGTGGGCTGGGGTCTCACGCTGCCTCTGCTCTCTCACTGCAGAGCAAGCACCAGCACAGCCTGGCCCAGTCATGGTGGTGTGAATTGGTGTCTGCAGTGAATTGGTGGGAAAGTGATTAGTTAGAATTGGAAGTTTGGGACTTTTTGCTGCCTACTGGACTGTAGGAGCAGCTGCCGTGAGCTGTGCTGCTCCTGCTTCTGAGCAGATGCTCGAGGTGCTCCTGCATGGACCACTGTAAAAGAGGGGAAGCGATGATGTGGTTAGGTGAAATACTGATGTATCCCCTATAAGAGGGTCCCATCAGCCTCTAAATCCATCTCATCAGTTCCCTAAATTATTTTGTCATTTTATTTTTTTCTTTTCTGAAATGCAGTAAGATGGAATAAGATGCAACAGCCTCAAGTTGCGCTAGGGAAGGTTTAGACTGGATATCAGGAAGCATTTCTTTCCAGAAGGGGTTGTTAGGTGTGGGAATGGGGTGCCCAGGGAGGTGGTGGAGTCCCCATCCCTGGAGGTGTTTAAGAGTCGGGTCGACATAGCGCTGAGGGATATGGTGTAGCTGGGAACTGTCAGTGTGAGGTTACTGGTTGAACTGGATGATCTTCAAGGTCTTTTCCAACCTAGCTAATTCTGTCATTCTGTGAAATAGAAACTGGTCTTCTGAAAACCACTCTTCCATTTCACAGATGTGACCTGAGTGGTTTTGGTGACTCTGGCATGATGTGAGGGGAGTCTGTGGTATACTACAGGACTAGGACTGCTTGTGGATTCAGCTGGAGGTTTCTATGGACTTTGGGCTCTGGATCAGACCTCTGAGGTTGACTTGTAGTCACTGCAGAGGCTGTAAACAAACTGCATTCCACAAGCAGACCAAGTCCAAATGTGCTCCCAAGTCATCTTTGCAGCTTTGAAATATGTATTGTGAGTAGGAAGACTCCTTTCCTTAGGACAGCTGATGTCTTCAGGTAATTTAGAAATGTATTGGGTACAGCTAGCTGAGACAGAGTGGGATGGGGTTTGAGACGATGTAGAGACAGAGAAGTTGATGAGAACATGGGATTTAACTCTTGTAGTGCACATAGTGGGCTCTCCAACCCACAGAGAAGAGGTCCTTCAGTGGGTTTCTGGTGTCCTGTTCCATGGGCAGAAGGTCAGTGTTTCTCATGATGGTGGTTCCCTGCTGTGTGATGGCTGCTTGGTCTATGTCAGTGAAATACCCTCTGGGCTTGGCAGGTGGCTGTGGGGGGGAATCTCAGCCCTCTTAAGTGTTTTATTAATCATGTCCCTCAGGCTTTGCTGCTTTAGTCACTATGGGTCTGTTAAAACCTAGCCTGCAGGCCATGATGTTTCTAACGCCCACCTTTTAGGGGGTTTTCTAGCTCTGAGAGTGAGTGGAGAAGGAGGAAGCAGTGTACACTGTGAGAGTGTTTGCTGGCTGCAAGCTGCTGCCTCAGTAGCCATGTTGGAGCTTGCTGCGGATGGTCTGCCATGAACCCTGTCACAGAGCATCGCTTCCAGTCCCCGTGCTGACTCTTGCAAGTCAGCCTGGTCCAAAAATAACAAGTAACCTGGAAAAGTTGATGGTTGTATCAATTACAAAACCAGGTCTTGCTTCTCTTCTACCCTGCTAACCCTTCCCTTGAGGTCTTCTTTTTCCCTCATCTCATTCCCAGCCACGGCATCCCCTGGCCTGTTTGCTGGGTTGATCTCTGTAGCCCGTTTTAATTTTCTGTGTATATTTGTGTGCTGTTAGAATGGTTGCTCCTATTTTGTACAAGCTGACTTGCAATCGACTCATCTTCCCCCTTGCCTGCATGCCCTGTTGCACATCACTGAAGCATGGCAGGAATCATACATATATAGGCTGTAGCTGCCAGCTTTGGATCTAGATGAGGAAAAGCCTTTTAGTCTGTACTTTGGTTTAAAACAATAAATAAAACAAGTCTCCAGCATGTAGGGCATTGCTCTCTTAGTAATGTCAGGTTGTAGTGGAGCAAAATATGTGCAAGAGTCTGACTATCTGTCTTATTCTCTCTTTGTCTTGGGTTCCCCTTGCTGTGTCAGAGATGTTCTTCAGTTCTGTTATTATCATGATTTCATGTGTTACAAGCATAAACCAATAAATAATGTGTAGGTTTTCTGTGTTGTAGGACAGGCTGTTTATTTGGTTTTTAAAGTTGTTCCTTTT